GTTGTAGAGAGCGATGAGGTCTCCCCTCAGCCTCCTTTTCTGCAGGCTAAACAACCCCAGTTCCCTCAGCCACTCCTCATCAGACTTGTTCTCCAGACCCCTCACCTTTTTTCCTTATTTTATTTCACCTTTTCCTTATTTTCCCTTTCCTGTGAGCATCTTCCAGGCTTTAATAAACCCATAATTACCGAGAAGTGCTACTGTCCCCAGTTTCCAGGTGAGGCTAGTCACGGACTTCTTTTTCCTTCCTTTAGCTATCTAAAAGATGGGGTTATGGAGCTGGACATGAAGGGTCCCTCAGCAGTGGACAGGGAGAGGACCAGCACAATCAGAAGCTGACCCACCCTCTCTTTTGAAGCATGAGAGAAATTCTCCTCTCTCTTCATTGATATGGGTGTATCCTCCATGACTGACTTTCCAGCAGCTCAGCGTATGTGAGCTGAATCCCATCACAGTAAGCATGTTATCCAAGACTGTATAGAAATCTGGTGCAGAGCAGGAAAATGAACGCAGATTTCCCAGCTCCCAGACTAAAGTCTCAGCAGCTAGATGATCCCTTCAGCCTCTGCTTCCAGGAAAAAAAGGGAAGCAACATTGATTTATATGAGCATCTCTCAAACAGTCCCACCACAGAGAGACAAAACAGACCTCTGCTCATCCATTCTTCTCACCTGGCTATTTAGGCAATAAACTCTTGGGACAGAGAGGGGGTTTTTTATTTGCTTTTGGGTTGTTTTTTTGTCTGCCTCTTAGTCTATATTTTCACAGTGCTTGAAACCAATGAGTGCTAATCCTGTCCAGGGCCCTGTGACGATACTGTCAATACTCTAATAACATTATTGCAGAACTACTCTCACTGGGAAGTTTCAGGAGTCACCTAAAAGCCAAATTCTCCCCTCAATCTCCCTGCTTGGCATCTCGGCCTGGCCTCATTTCACAGAACATCCCTTAACGCCTTTTTCATTGATAGTCAAAAAGGGACACTCAAGATCAGATGGGAATGAATCATTTACGACAGTCAAAATTGTGAAACTTTTTGTAGGCAAGAAAGGACTGGAATACTGAGTGGAGTCACCTATCAGTCACCCAGATCCCAAAAAGGAGGTAGAAATTTTAAAAATAAAACCCCAAGCATCCTGCTAAGATGCAAGTATCTGGGATAAGATGAACTTCTAATCCTAACAATTGCATACATGAGAAACACATTTATGAGAAAAAGCCTTGAGCAGAGAGGATCCTAAAAGATGCCTGTCTCTGTGGGGCAACAAAGCGCATAATAATTGGAACGCTAGAAATAAACATGCACAGAGAAGTAAAAAAGGGTAATTACTTATAGAGAATGTTCATTTTTCATAGGAAAAAAAAATATCCTTGCACTGTTTTTTAACAACCAATTTCCACAACAGTATTTTCGTTCTGCTTCTTCTCCATGTTCTTTTCGCTCTCCAGTTATTTGTTTGCCAGATACTTTTCAGCTTCATAGAATTAAATGGAAAACAGGAGGAGAAGCGCACATCACGTCAGAAAGGGATTCATCTGATCGCATACAGATTTTTGCAGTGGAGACGCCTGTAGCTGTGCCTGTCACCCTGGGTTCCCCAAAGACTCGACAGAGAAACAGGCAGATCTAGAGGTGATCTGTCTGTCCTCCTGCAGAAGGAGCAGAATCGCCCTGTGAAAGTCCTTCTCGCTCGCCATTGACTCCAGAAGCAGCTAGGGTGATGGGCTCAGGCGGGGACAGCCACAGTTGTCTACGTTAAATCACCTGGGGTCCACCCCAGCTGCCAGAGCACGTTGCCTTCAGGCACCCAAAAACCTGCCCACACCCTGCACGTTCTCTCATCTCTGATTTAAACCCCTCGTGGACGGGTTTTAAATCTTAATTGCGAGCTACACAAAATTTTGGCAGAGTGGATGGAAAAGGCACACTGACAAGGTTTCAGTGAGGTATAAAAACTTGACTGTGTTGTCACCGTACAACCACCCGTTGGCTTGGCCCCGCACCGCTGAAATCGCTGGAAGGCCTTTTGCTGCAGACTTCAGCAGGAACGAAACCCGGGAGGGCACTAACAGAGTTTGCCATAACTCCCTTCAGCAGCCCAGCGACGATCACTCCAAGAGGAGCATACTCGGGAACTGGCTTCAAACAAGCCTGGACCTGTATACGGCCTTCTCATGGTGCATCATGATATAACCTAAATGTGTACCCCCATTAGCACGTGGCATTCACGTACTGTTATCCTTTAAGGCTCAGCCCAAGTAATAACGTTCAAAGCTTTGCTTGCGTGATTCACCTGCTGCTCCCCAAACATGTCAAAACTCATTGTGTTTTCTACCTCGACTTTCAGCATGGAAGAGCCCAGCAGTTTAATCAGAAGCAAATATAACAATACAAATGTACTGGAGGCTTTGGAAGTGGCATTTCCTTAGTAAGCCTTACAACTAGGAGTGCTACTGAAATGTTTTTCCCCCTCTTAATAGCTCATAAAAAGGAACAACGATTGTTACTCTAAAAGGAAGTGGTCTATAAATCCAGCTCTAATAAATATAAACAGTGCTTGTTCAATGTTTATACAGCAGCAGTAAATGGGTATTCATTTTTGGCACTGTACGGGAAAATACTGCTCTCTATTTCTAGTAGCAAATGTTTGCACCTCCTGTTCATGACTCATCTACTGTATGTTTGGCTTCAACAAAGGCCTGATAGGCAAAAAGGCAAGAGGAAGGATATCAGAGAAATAAAGGACTCTGAACCCAAATACCCCAACCTGGCACACTGTTCTGATGAAATAAAATCAGTTAATTTTAAAATCAGAAAACCTCCTCGTCAACAATAAGTTAACGAAAAAACCCAAGCAAAGAAATACAATACAGCAAAGAAACTCTTTTCACAAAAATAAAAGGACTTCTTCCATTGTTATCTTTTGCTCCGTGGAACTTCTTGCCTTTCAACAGGGAGAGCCATTTGGGCAACACTAAATATTGCCAAAGTATTGTCTGTTAAGGGCGATGGTGGTTGGGAATGCGTGAGCGCTGGGGAAGCAGGAGGCTGGTCAAATGAGCGTGCGAGAAGGGGCAATTCTGGACACCCCAGGGCAGGTAGAGCTGTTCAGTGATTTGGGTGGAAATGGTAGGATTTCCTCCTCCTTCTGCAGACCTGCTCATTAGCAGCCTGCTCACACCACAGCCGCCTTCACTTTCGCAGCATTGCAGCCCTCTCGGATCAGTCCTGGTTATTTCTTTATCCAAAGCTGATATTATTCTGATCAGAGAAGACTGGCTCCCTCAATGGGGGTTTGGATGCTTTTCACTTTCCCTCTGCTTTCTTTTTTGCTGGTTTGTGGCTTTTTGTTGGTTTTGGGAGGTTTTTTTAAGAAATCATTCCAATGTCTGATTACATTTCAGCGACTCAAAGAGCGTGTCTGCTGATGGAAGAGGTTTTTGACACCAAAGGAGCTAAGATGCAGTCTGGGCATGCAGCCCTCACACACCGTATAAGAAACACGGCAATATATAGCATGCATCTATCTGCCACTTGCTTTATGCCTTTTTAATGGCTTCCCTCCAGGATTTCTGATCTGACAGCTGAAAACAAACTTTATTTTCATCAGGGGAATGAGGGGAGACTTCCTACACTTTCTCAGGAGCCCAGGTGGGCCCCAATCACCAGACATCACACCAGGTACCTACTTGCCCCTTAGACTTTACCAGCCACACTGAGAAATATCCATATGACAGATGCTACAGCCACATCTAAGAACGCTGGCATCTAAAAGAGAGTTTGTATGCACTTGACCCCTAAAACACCATCTCGGACAGGCTTTGTACCAGCATGGATTGGAAATTATTAGGCCATGACCCTGTAAAGAGAAATGTCTGGCCTATGGTCTACTTTAGTTAATTAGCTGGCCTGGGGGAAGCTGCATGTGAATTTGGGGTGGAAAACCCAAAACATTCCATTTACTTTCATTTTTAGCAACTTTTCTGGCCAATATCAGTGACCGCTTACACAGGCATTATCGTTACACCTGGATTTAAGCAGGAGGGAGCTAAAGCATCCAGACAGCACATTTATTTCAGTGAAAGCAACAGAGTGATCATGGATGCACCGTATGCAGCTGCACACACAGGACTCCAGGACTTTGGTGGGAATTTCAAATTACACGTGCTGAAGAGACACTCTGGATAAGAGGACTCTGAATCTGGTAGGGAATAACCCTTCGCTTCCCTGGGTTTGGCAGCAGCGTACTTCTTCCAAAATTAAGACAAATCTGTGTGTGCAAAACTTAGTAGGTTTGTTTTTTTTTTTTGAGGCATTTCTTTTTCTCCCAAGCAACACCAGTTTTTGGCAAAGGGTCAACATCCCGGCCAGCTTCAAAAACCTAAAATTCCAGAGAATCAACACATTTTGTAAGCGAAGAAATATTGCTAGGGCACCGCAGGTGGTTGTCTGAAATTGCAAGTAATTAACTGCACTGCTACGACGTTGGGAAATAGCACGGTTGGAGGCTGTTTCTCCTGGCTCTGACCTGAACACTGCTCGCAATTTGCCCTCGCCTGGGATTTTTTGAGACAGCTAAGGAAATGCCTACACGCTCCTGGGCAGGCAGCTGTGAGTTTAGCTGGTGGGGCACAAGGTGATTTCAATACAGAAGACATTTAGATTTAGGAGCTTTCCTTGGGCTCAGCGTTGTACCAATGTGGATGCTGTAGTGGAACTGCCTGTTTTGCCTCTGGTATTATATGACTTTTAAGGCTTCTTTTGCTCTCTACACACACGAAGCATCACTAAGATGCATTTTACAGGAATTCACTAGGCTTTGGTGCAGCCTGCTTCAGACTACAAAGCACACAGACATCAATCCACCGGCAAGATGCGTTTGCAGAGATGTTCATGGGGTGGTATGAGCCAGAACAGCCCCAGTGACTCAAGAGAGCTACTCTGGCTCGAGATACTCAGGGTGATGCTCTGCAGCGAACAGCATCGTGGTCTTAAAAGCAATAATAACAAGCAGACTTCCTTCAGAGGAAACCTGCAAATCACCGTGAAGGAATACGAACCCTTGGGAGGTGTGAGATTGACTCCGTTTTTAAGGCACCACTGTATTGGCAAGATCCCTAAGGAATCCGCATGGCAAAGCATTGAGATTTTGCTGGGTTCAGGTCTCAAGTCATCAATGGTCACTTGTAAATAATGATTGTTAAAAACCTAAGGGGTGAAAAAGAACAAAACAAAATCAGAAGTTAAATTTCCTGTAACATTAGGTAACGTGGAAAGGTGAAACAGCCAGGCCCTGGAATCAAACTACTCCTGAAAATAACCTGCTCTCACCTAACACTTCTCATCAAAGTGTTTCTACCAAAGAGATCAAAGCTTGAGTCTTAGAGATTGGTAAACTGAGGCAAGGGAAAGTCCTGGGGTTCAGGGTCACTCAGTGTGCCCAAAGCTGAGCAGGGACTGGAGGCGATCCTGGAGACCCCACAGCCCTCCTCTCTCTTGCCTTTGAGAGTGTAGATTAAATATCCAGGTACTGCCTCCATCCAGCTGTTTTATTTCAAAAGGTTTCCCAGATGTGCAAGGAAAATACACATGCATGGAGGGGAGACAGAGATAAAAGAGGGATTCCTTTTTTTTTTTGCATGGAAGTGGTAGATGGACATGCTTATCCCCATTAGATCTAAATGCATATAGTCAGCTGGTGATGCTTGTCGGAAAGAAACAAATCATTAATTAGGAATATCCATAGATTTTAAACATATTTCTTAATGTGTTCTCCAGCCAATGAAGTACCACTCTTGAGTTTTCCTAAATGTGGTGGAAATCAGCAAGAGGTTCCTAATCAGGCTCTTTTCATCCCTCCCTTCTGGGAGCTCACCGTGGTCACTGATGCAGGACAGATATGAAATGGCTCCCTCACATTCACCACCTCCAGCTTCATGCCCACAGCGAAGAAGTGGTTTCGCAAATCAGCATGGTCCTGGGGGAAGAGACAGGGAAGAGGAACACAGTGTGTCAGCGCCATCCGCCAAGGAGGGGTTGATACATTTGAAAATCTATTTTAAATGTGGGTTTTGTCACTTAGCTGATTACCAGATTGACTTCCAGCTCCAACTGGGCACTCCTGGTCCTATGTTCCTTTCATGCCAACCCGATCACAGAAGGAGAGGGGACAGCCTCACTCCCAGAGGACAGGATGGGCAGGACCAAGCCCATCATATCTAAAGCACAATGTGCATCCATCTCAGCAGCAGCACCTAACTTGAACTCGGTCAACAAGGAGATTGCGCTCACTAAAATGAGGACCTGTCTGAGAAATGGCTACTTGAAAATCTCCCCTGGGCAGAACCTCTTCACCTCTGACAGCCACTACCATCTGAGAGCAACCAAAGGTCCAGAGGTGTCAGGACTCAACTTGAGGTCCTCCAGGGTAACGTACAGAATGGGTGCCAACAGCTCAGGATGGCCCTGATTTACCCTGATGGATGTCCAGCTCCTGCAGGCCACCAAAATAAGGACCTGGGCTGGTTTCCATGTACTGCAAGATGGCAAGGTCTTTTCTCCAGCCAGGAGACTAGAGGTGGACTAAGGCCCAGACAATGAACTCGGACCCAAAATGTGGGCAACAAGAGAACATGTTGGTGGGAAACATGTAACTGTGTTGAAGTATATGCCCACCACAACACTTTCACCCAGGATCAAACCTGGCTGCACCCACAGGGTTGCACACAGCAGCTTTGGGGATGGCAGCAGGATGCAGTCCCGAAACTCAGAAGCAACCCAGGTTCAACTCCCTGATTTGCCACCAGTTTAGTGTTTAACATCTATCAAATTAGTCCATCTCTCATGATCCCTGCCTAATAGGTGTACAAGTTGGCATCCTAATTCCAGAGTAATTACCATATTTTGTGTTCATTCAATAAAAATGTCCTACAGTATTTCTAAACCATCTGTGCATTAGCTAATACAAGCATAAAAAAAGATGATGTTATATTTAACACACACATACAAACGACTCCAAAATACATGCAGAAAGCTTGCTATCTAATAAGTGGTTAGCAATGTCATTCCCATCTACATTCATTGCTACATGTTGTATTCTTGTTCTAAAATGATTTTCTATTGATCCGAAGTTGTATGTCATTGTGCTTTCTTTTCCCAAGAACTGCCTTCACTTCTAGACTTAACAACTTCTATTTTGGGATCTTGCATTCCTGCTGCCATTAGAGATAAGGATTTTTACAAGCCCCAACCACAGCTAATTGTTGTTTTCATCTTACCAACCTGCAATGTTACGGAGCCTTTTATGTGAGAACCAAAAAGCAAAAAAACATCGTAATGGATTTAGTCTCACAGCAGGAGAAGTATATGCTGATGGGGAAACTGAGGAAGATTTACCAATAATGGCCCAGTGAACTAATGGCTGGAGAAGCAGCAGACATTCAAGAGTTTGGGCATCCTGCAGTGTAGCATAACCATCAGCCATACTTGCACTTGCTGGCGGTCACTGCCGTATCACTAAAGCCCAGAGAGACAGGAGACCCATTTCTAGCAGCTTTACACAGAGAATGGTTCGTCGAATAGAAGTCTGAACTGGGGAAGAGAATCTGGCTCTTTGTACATAGAGGTTGCATCGTACCAGGGATGCATCGGACAGACAGGTTATCAAGATTGCCATCTTTACTACTGAAAAGGCTTCCGCTGGGAAAAGATGACGGCTGTAAAAATCAGACCTCGCCAGCACTGAACTTCAAATCTCCAAAGGCAAAAAGCGTCTGGACTGGAGGGCTGCCTCCTCCTGCATGAGGATCCACACCCGGCGTCTCTCAATCCCTAGGGTGAGGTTGTAAAGAAAAGGCAACTTTGCAAAATGTACATCTGGAAGTAAGCTTACACTGCAGCATCTTCCCATCAAAAGCTCCAGGATTCAATTCACGCTCGTACCCAGCTTCAATACATAACAAGCCAAGATCCACCAAAGTACGTAATCATGTTTATCTTTAAACATGCAAGTAGTTTCATCAACTTTAAGTGATTTGTTGACTGAGACCAAAATATATCGAGACCAAACCATATTGCTTCTCATTTTTATTTGAATCTGTTTCTTTAGTTCTTCTCCTTCTATTTGTTTTGGCCTTTTTCAAAGGGAAAAAAAATCAGGTGTGGGGGGGGGAAGCTAAAAACATTTAAAGCTATTTTACTTCAAAAGTATATCCCCTTTTCTCCACACACTATGTACCTTAGGATCAAATCTCCCTTCTCATTCAGCATAGCATGCAAATATCTTCCCCATTAAATTAATAGCAAGAGTGAACTCGCAAGGGGAGTTCGTGGGATCTCAGATATGTCTCCCTTTTGAGGGTCCAAATCCTCTTTGAAGCAGGAACGTACATTTGTTTGGAGAAGGGCTGCGGAAGTAAAAAGCTTGTCTGTGTTAAATGTCATTTTTGAGACAGAAAAGCTTTCATGGAGAAAAAGCCTTTGTATTGTACCTCTCTGGCAAATGGTCAGGGTCTGGATATTTGATCTCTCTCGTATATTTGCTAAAGAGAGGCATCAAAATTTACTGAAGCAGCCTTAGATTTTTGCAGCCACAAAAGGAAAAAAAAAGATCCTGATGCCGTTCTCTGGTTCCAGTGCTAGAGCTGCCTCAGCCAGCAGGGAATTACTTAGGATTTGGCATATGCTCCTCTTCAAAACTCCAATTAATTTACATAATTTCTAAGAATAGGTTCAACAGAAGTGAAGGCAAAGCTTTTAATTAGTATTAGACTCAAAGTGATACACTGGATAATGAACTGCACTCTCCTCCCTTTATTCACATTGACAGGAAAGATGCCTGTTAAATAAAAGCAGCTACAAGAAGAGGACTGGAGGAGTGAGACGTTCCCCTGGTCCCCGCCAGGCTCCGCAGCCGAGCAAAAGAAATGCCTGAAATGATTACGGGTGGCAGAATCCAACCCTTTACCGCTATTTCACGGCGTTCAAAGCCACCTATGAGGATGTCACCAGCCATTATTTTCTAGCAACTTCTCCAAGTGAGTTTCAATTTTCCTTGAAATGGAGATGAATAGGCAGAATATTTTTGACCAGTTGGAGCATTTTATAGCCTTGTGCATGGTGAACCTTTACTCCTACTGATGGGCAATGCTTCCCAGGAGCAGCCCCCACTGACCACATGGATTTACACCAGCAGATTGCTTGTCCCGGGGTTCACAAGCCCTGAGTGGGTGATGGAAATACCCTCTGACTGCTGGAGAGCAGCTAAGGATCGACAATCCACAAGGATGCAGAAGAGTCCCTTACAGCGAAGTGAAAAATCATACCACGGAAAGTACAATGAATTAACGCCGTACGAGCACCACAGTCGCTCATTCGAAGGGTCACAATCTCTAACATGATGGATTACAGCCTGCGACGGTGCTCACAGGTAATGAATGGAAAATTGCATAACCCTCCGCTGAATGAACGTCTGTCACTTACAGCCCAAACCCACTGGCAAAAGCCAGGGCTGTCACAGCTCTCACTACAAACCCCAAGAAGCAATTAAACCCAGCCCCACACTCACAGTTTTAGAGCAGTATGCATTTGCAAATTTGCTAGCGTGCACAGGCTGTGACCCTCCGGGCCACCTGAAAGACAGCCCCGCTTTGATACGCATCTGCATCATTATCTCCATCTCCGTACGGCATGTGTTTCTGCAACGCTTCTGCAAAAATACTGATGGGCTTTGCAACACTTCACTGCAACCAGCATCACCTGCAGGGCTGAAAGCTGAAACATCTGAAGGTCAAACAACAGGCCAACAATGGTGCCGGGAGGAGAACCAGGCTCCTAACTCCCAACCCTCTTCTTTAGGTACTGAGATAGCCGCATAATTTTCTCCTTCATAGCTAATGAGCCACTAGCAGTGCAGGTTTCAAAAATGTCAGGTGACTTGGGAGCCTAAATGTCATTCCAACAGAGACCCACAAACAGATTTACAAAAGTATTCAGACTCTTAAGGATGCAGACAGGCTTTAGGGAAGTACCTGTGCGGGTGACATGCTTAAGTCCTAATAATAACGTCACTAAGCATTGGCTTTAGGTCTTGAATTCAAAAAGATATACTTCAAAACCATCGTAGTAATTTGCCCTTTCTGGTGCCTAAATACCTTGCTAAATCTGGCTTCTGAGTATTTCTACTCAACAAATGTCATCTAAGTGTAAATAAACTCAAATTTGTCCATGTCACAGCAATGTTCTGGCCACCAAAGGGTGGAGCTCAGGTCATTTTACAGTGCACTGGGTAATGCAGATAGAGCAGGGGGACTTGGCTAAGCTGCTTTTGCCCGTGACGTTCAGGGAAGCCGTGCTATGGGCTGGTTGCTCTAGCTGTGTCCACAAATCCAAGGAAGGGCATCGCCTTCAGATTGTGAAATGCTCATTTTTAGCCCATTCTGCTCAAGATACAATACTGGAGTCATCTCATTTTAAACCCAGCAGCTTACACAGTGTGTAAATAAGAGGAAAAGGCTCTAATTTGAACTCTCATTTTCAAATACCCTGAAAGTCAGGGCTCTTTTGGTCCAGGATAGTCAGATTCACACCAATTATAAGACTGCAACTTTGTGCAAAATTCAGAACTAAGTCTGAATGCTGAAAAGTTGCAAAGTTGAGAGGCTGATTAGAAACACTGGGCACTCAATATACGATAGACCTGAACCTCCTTTAATCCTCACCAACTGTAACAGTGTGAAATGCTATTGCCTTCAGTCACATCTCTCCTGGTGTACCCTACTAAAAGACGCAGAAGAAGTGGGCCCCATCTGGTATGACTGGAAACATATTATTTGATGCAGTTTTTGTCTTCAAAGAAATCGCTTCCCCCAGTGTTTTCCCTAATTCTCCAAGAAACTGGCTGCTTCTAATAGCCTAATTTTAATCACAAAGCTCACGTGTGGTAACCAGTCACATACACAGTAATAGCAGTGGTTAAAC